AAAGTTTAAGGGAGATATGCATGGAAAGTTCTTTACGCAGAAGGTGGTGGGTGCCTGGAATGCGTTGCCAGCGGAGGTGGTAGAGGCAGGTACGATAGCGTCATTTAAGATGTATCTAGACGGATACATGAATGGGCAGGGAGCAGAGGGATACAGATCCTTGGAAAATAGGTGACAGGTTTAGATAGAGGATCTGGATCTGCGCAGGCTTGGAGGGCCGAAGGGCCTGTTCCTGTCCTGTAATTTTCTTTGTTCTTTGTTCTTAATTCACAAACACCCAGCAAATGGTTTGATCGCTGTAACACGATGAATACAGGGAGGTGGTGGAGAGGGGGGTTTAGCTTCTCTGTGTTGCTATAATACTGTCACTGGGAGGCCACTGCATACTAGTGTGACCTTTGGCTCAGTGGGTAATCTTCTCACCTCTGAGGTGAAAGGTCATAGATTCAAATCTTGACACACCCCCACACACACACATCAGAGTTAAATTTAAGATTCTTGGCTGACAGACCAGTTGTATTATCTCTGTGGGAATATTCAGAGGTGGTACAGTGGAGGTGGTTAGCCAAAACACTATTTGGACTTTTATATGTTGAATTACAAAGAGAGATTAGGCAAATGATGGCTCTGTTCCTAAAAATTTAGAACTTGATTGATGCTTTCAAAATATTTGGAGTGAGCAATAGAGGGGAAAAAGCCTGGTGTGAACCAGGAACAACACACTTTTGAAATACAAGCTACATCGCAGGAATAACAAAAGGGTCCTGATGAAGGGTTTCAGCCCGAAACGTTTGACTTCCCTGCTCCTTGGATGCTGTCTGACCTGCTGTGCTTTTCCAGCTTCACATCTATTGAGTCTAGCTTCCAGCATCTGCAGCCCTTACTGTCTCCAAGTTGTAGGAGTGATATTCCAAATCAGTACTACACACAAGTAGAAAGTTGGAACTCTCATCAGCAGACAGCAATTGCTTTCAGTGTTAGTTTTGACTCTGAGATCGATAGATACTTTGTGAACTAAAGGTTAGAAGGATTGTGGGCATAGGGAGGTATCTGGAATTAGATCGCAGCTCAGTCGTGATCTTATTGAAAGGCAGAACAAGGGGATAGATGAGGGGCCTTTTCCTGTTCCTCATTGCAAGATGAATCGATGATGCTGGACAGTTCCCAAGCCCCATGTTTGAGTTGGATTAGGAGCTCCTCTGACCTGTAGATGGTACCACTGAACATTGCTCCATCAGCAGGGATCGGGTCAGAAGAGAATGGGCAAGACAGCCAGGGCCACTCCAAACTTCATAAATAACTCCACTCCTTTCACTCTTCCTTCCAGACTACACGCTTGTGAGGTAGACACATTTTTAGTCAGTAAGGGAAAAACGGCAGGGAAGTGGAGTTGAGGATTATCAGAAAGAATCATGATCTCATCGAATGGCAGAGCAGACTCGATGGGCGGAATGGCCTACTTCCGCTCCTAGGTCTTATGCTTCAAGTCCCTTATCAGGATTTGACACAGCATCTTCGAGACTTAACTCCTGCTCCAACTGGTTCCAATATTCTTTGTTGCCACGGGGAGTTCATTTCAATCGGAAAAGCACACTGGGTCATGCAATTATTGCATTCCAAACCCGATCGCCAGTGTCTAAAGATCTTCACTTTAATGACGGGGACAACTCCATGTGTGCATGTTTTTTTTTGGAATAGATCCTTTGGGGAGGTGATGGCCTAGTGGTATTATTGCTGGGCTGTTAATCCAGAGACCCAGATAATGTTCTGGGGACCTGGGTTTGAATCCTGCCACAGTGGAATTTGAATTCAATAAACATCTGGAATTAAGAGTCTAATAATGACCATGAATCCATTGTTGATTGGCGGGAAAAATCTCATCTGGCTCACTAATGTCCTTTAGGCACAGAAAGTGTCATCCTTACCGGGTCTGGAGTCACATGTAAGCCCGGTCTGGCCTGCATGTGACTCCAGACACACAACAACGTGGTTGACTCTTAACTACCCTCTGGGCAATTAGGGATGGGCAATAAATGCGATGCCCTCATCCCATGAATGAATAAAACGTTGACCCATGATGTATTTCCCTATTTTGACATCTATTATTTAGCGACGGGCTCATTTTCTCAGTACCAGGTACTATCTGACAACCTTCAACTTCAACCAACAACCACCTGCACCCACCCCCAACTACAACCAGTCCTCAGTGACCCCTCCCCACCCGTCCCTACCACCACCAACCCCTCACAAGTCTGCATCACACTGTGGAACATCCTGCTGATGGTTTTATAAAGTGAGCAAGTGTTTCCATAGCACCAATGCTGCATTACCTAGACAACGTATCCCTGATACTGCTCCTCCCCAATCCATCTATTTCAAAGGTTATTTAGCCAACAGAGAAACATTATAGCATCTTTTTTAAGGGAAAAATTAAAACGGCCAGATAGAACAATTTGGCAACTAAGACGTCAAACAAAATGACTTAGTTCCTTGCCTCCTATCCCCACACCATGAGTTTTTATTTTGATTTTCCGAGATAATTTCAGTCTGTATTTCCCCTTTGCTTTTCATTGCGGCTTCCTGCTCCCCTGATCTGACAGGACTTCTCACGGTTGGCACACACTATTTTCATTCACAAAATTCCAGAGGTCTTGTCTGTTTACCGTTTAAGGCTGGCTCACAAAGAAAAGTTTCCTCAATGTTAAAATTATAATTCCAACGAAGCGATTAGGTGGCACCAGCAAAATGGGAATGTGATCAACGGGAGCTCGTGCGCACCATTCAGTCCGTCACACCTGTTCTCCCCAATCTCCCCATTTATTTTGAAAGGACTTGAATATAAAAGCAGGGATGTACTCCTGAGGCTTTATAAGGCTCTGGTCAGGCCACATTTGGAGAGTTGTGTGCAGTTTTGGGCCCCATATCTCAGGAAAGATATACTGGCCCTGGAGCGGGTTCAGAGGAGGTTCACGAGAATGGTCCCAGGAATAGAAAGCTTAACATATGAGGAATGTTTGAGGACTCTGGGACTATACTCATTGGAGTTTAGTAGGATGAGGGGGATCTAATTGAAACTTTCAGAATACTGAATGGCCTGGACAAAATGGATGTTGGGAAGATGCTTCCATTGGTAGGAGAATCTAGGACCCGAGGGCACAGCCTTAGAGTAAAGGGAAGACCTTTTAGAATGGAGATAAGGAGAAACTACTTCAGCCAGAGAATGGTGAATCTATGGAATTCACTGCCACAGAAGGCTGTGGAGGTCGGGTCATTGAGTACATTTAGGACTGAGATAGATAGGTTCTTGATTGTCAAGGGGATCAAGGGTTATGGGGAGAAAGCAGGAGAATGGGGTTGAGGAACTTATCAGCCATGATTGAATGGCAGAGCAGACTCGATGGGCCGAATGGCCTATTTTCTGCTCCTATGTCTTATGGTCTTATGGTCTTAATCAACAACATTGTGGTTGAGCTTCCCCCTCAAATTCCACTGGCCGTACACTATCCATTAATTCCCTGAGTACACCAAAATCTGTTGACCCTTCCTCTTGAACGTATTCGACTGAGCATACCCAGAGCTCTGAGATGGAGAAACCAGACTGACAATCCTTGGGTGCAGTTATTTCCCTTCAGCTCGGACTTAAATGACCTGCCACTTGTTCAGCGTTTGTTCTAGATACACCAATCAAGGGAGAGTCATTTTCTCAGCATCCACCCTGCCGAACCGCTTAAAAACTCTACTCATTTCAATTGGATTCCCTCTCATTCTTCTGGACCTCAAGGAATATAGGTCTCTTCCACTCAATCTCTGTTCATCCTCTCGTCGGAGGCTGAGGGGTGACCTTATAGAGGTTTATAAAATCATGAGGGGCATGGATAGGGTAAATAGACAAGGTCTTTTTTCCCAAGGTAGAGGAGTCCAAAATTAGAGGGCATGGGTTTAAGGCGAGAGGGAAAAGATATAAAAGGGACCTGAGGGGCAACTTTTTCACACAGAGGGTGGTGCATGTATGGAATGAGCTGCCAGAGGAGTGGGTGGAGGCTGGTACAATTACAACATTTAAAAAGGCATCTGGATGGGCATATGAATAGGAAGGGTTTAGAGGGATATGGGCCAAATGTCAGCAAATGGGACAAGATTCATTTAGGATAACTGGTAGACACGGACGAGTTGGACTGAAAGGCCTGTTTCCGTGCTATACATCTCTATGACTCTCTGTCTCTCAACCCAGGAGCTAAGTTGTCTTGACCAGGGCCTTTTGTGGATGAGAATGTCCCTTTTTGGGAAGGTGGCCAAGACCTACAATAGGTGTGCCCTTCCCGACACTGTGTACCATTTCAGGGAAACATCTTTACTCTTCTCAGTGGACTATTAATCCCAAGCCCCAGGTTAATATGGTGGTGGCTTCCAATCCCACCAGGGCAGAGGGTGAAATGTGAATTCAATAAAATCTGAATTTTACAAGAATTTGGTTTAAAGCCTCACATGTAGCATATGCTGAATCAGTTAGCATGGACAATACGGGCCAAATGTTCCCCACTTCTGGGCTGTATCATTTCTATGGGTCAATGGTAACCATTGTCGATTGTCATAAAAATCCAGTTCACTTGGGGAGGAAATCTGCCATCCTTACCCGGCCTGGCCTTCATGTGACTCCAGGCCCACAGCAATGTGGTTGACTCTTAAGTGCCCTCTGGGCAATTAGGGATAGATAATAAATGCTGGCCTACCCAATGATGCCCTCATCCTGTGAATGAATGCAAAAAAAGGCCCACAGCTATGCAAGTTAACTCTTAACTGCTTTTGGAAATGGCCGAGAGAGCCAATCAGTTCAAGGGATGGGCAATCAATGCCAGCTTTGCCAGAGATGCTTACGTTCCCCATAGAAGAATGATCTACAAAGGCCCTTTATGATGAGTCCAAACATAACCCTTCACCTTCCTAATCAATTCCTGCTCTCAATTCAAAAGAAACACATGTTAAGAGAAGCTGGCTCTTACATTGTCTTCCGCAATTGGCTTGTCGACAGTCACTTGAGGGAGGAGCAGTGTGGTTGGGGAGATGGGGGGCCCTCCTACCACAGACACCACGCCATTCTGGTCGACGGCACTGTGCAGCTTCCTGCGCCCGCCATAGTGCCCGCCTGCTGCCAGCACCGAACGGTGGCTCCCATGGCTCTGGTTGCTGTTGGTCCTGTACAGCTGGGGGAGGCACAAAGAGCCTCTGATGCTCTCAGTATCATCAAAGACGCTGCCCTCGTCGTCCGAGAAGATGTTCTCCATGGCGGCATCAGCGGAATGAGTCCGGTATCGGAAAATACTGCTCCGCCTGAGCGGGTGGCGGTTCGACAGGATGGGCGTCATGAGAGGCTGTGGAGAGAAGTCAGACGGTTAAAGGGTCCACGAATGCATAGCAACACACTCAACTCATAAATAAGGATTGTTAGTTATACGGGATGTATATGGGAACATTGGAATTAAGAGCTTCACTAGACTATTCGGTCCCTCTAGCCTGCTCTGCCAGACCGTAAAATCATTCTGATCTGAGCATGGCCGCAACTGCCCTTCTATGCCTGCCCCATTCCCCCTCCCTTTTCTCACACCTCCCTTGTGTGGCGAGTCACTGCCCTTTAAGAGATGTGTTTGGTACTGTTTCTCTGAAACTGGAGTCCCAGGTAGACAGGGTGGTGAAGGCAGCGTTTGGTACGCTTGCCTTTATTGATCAGTGTGTTGAGTGTAGGAGCTGGGAGATCATGTTGCAGCTGTACAGGACATTGGTTAGGCCACTTTTGGAATAATCTGATCAATTCTGATCTCCCTGGTGCAGGAAAGATGTTGCTCAACTTGAAAGGGTTCAGAAAAGATTTACAAGGATGTTGGCAGGGTTGGAGGGTTTGAGCTGTAGGGACAATCAGGAACCTGTCTATCTCTGTCATAAATATAGTCAATGACCTGGCCTCCACAGCCCTCTGTGGCAATGAATTCCACAGATTCACCACCGTCTGGCTGAAGAAGTTACTCCTCATAAAGCTCTGGTCAGACCACATTTGGAATATTGTAAGCAGTTTTGGGCCATTTATCTATAGAAGGATGCATTGACATTGGAAGGGGTCCAGAAGAGGTTTACAAGAATGATCACAGGAATGAAGGGCTCATCATACGGGGAGTGGCTGAGGGCTCAGGGTCTGTATTCGATGGAGTTTAGAAGGATGAAGGGGAACCTGATTGAAACTCACAGAATACTGAGAGGCCTGGATAGAGTGTATGTGGAGGAGATATTATCATTAATAGGAGAGACTAGGACCTGAGGGCACAGCCTCAGAGTGAAGGGATGGCCCTTTAGAACTGAGATGAAGAGGAATTTCTTCAGCCAGAGGATGGCAAATCTGTGGAACATGTTGCCACAGAGGGGCATGGAGGCCAAGTCATTGAGTGTATTTAAGACAGAGATAGATAGGTTCTTGATTAGTGAGGGGGTCAAAAGTTACAGGGAGAGGGCAGGAGAATGCAGCTGAGAAATATATCAGCCATGTTTGAATAGCACAGCAGATTTGATTGGCCAAATAGCCTAATCCTGCTCCTTTGTGTCATAGTCTTTATAGCTCACAAGGAATAACATGTCAAACAAGAATAGGGATAGAACTCCAAAGAAATTGAAGTGTACAGGCAATGTTACCTTCCGTGGTAATCCTTCTTCTGATGCTGACCTCAGTTCGTTTTCTTCATCTATTCCCTCATGAAGTTTCCCAAGTTCTTTGTCATTCCGAGGCCTCATGCTTCGAAATCTTGAACTTAAATGCGATCTCTCGGAGGAACTTCTCGACAATGTCTCATTCCCCAGTCTGCTCAACTGCTGTGGAAATGCCAATAAATCATTTGTTATGAAGGTGTGTCATCTGAAATATTATTTATAATTTTATTGGCTGGACACATGTACATCATGACCATTAAAAGAACACTTTCTAAGAGGTAGGTCACATGACCCAATTTTTGGGTGTAAAATGCATTAGTTTTGAGCACAAACAATTGGAAAGGACTTTCTATAGGGGTCCCAGCCTCTGTCTACTCGCCCCCTATCTGTAAGATTCTTATAATCAAAGTTTGTGAGTTGAAAACCCACTGGAAGACCTCATCACCACAAGTGGAAGGTGCTTAAAGGAGCAGTCTCAATTTATACCACTATTTGTAGAACAAGAGAATTCAACCAGCCATAACTGATCCAGGAAGAAACCCCAGAGCCAACAACCCTTGTGGAAAGTCACTTCGGTTGCAGACTAGCACTTTGCACCATAAGTGTATGTGTGTGTGTGTGTGTGTGTGTGTGTGTGTGTGTGTGTGTGTGCATGTATATATGTGCGTGTGTGTTTGTCTGTGTGTGTGTTTGTGTGTGTGTCTGTGTGTGTGTGCGCGCATGTGCATGCGCTTGTGTGTGTGCGCGTGTGCACGCGTGTGTCTGTGTGTGTGTGTGCACGTGGGCACGCGTGTGCACGCACGTGTGTGTGTGTGTGTGTGTGTGTACGTTTGTGTGTGTCTGTGTGTGTGTGTGTCTGTATATCTGTGTGTGTAAGTTTGTGTGTGTGTGTCTGTATATCTGTGTGTGT